AGAACTGGTATTGTGGTCATTACTGCCTTAAGCTGTGCAAATGCCACTGCCGCTTCTGAGTTCCATTGGAAGGAATCCTTTTTGAGTAATTGATTAAGTGGAGAGCAAATTTTTCCATAACCCTGAACAAACCGTCTATAGTATCCTGTGAGGCCAAGAAATCCTCTTAGTTCCTTTAAGGTAGCAGGTGCTGGCCAACTAGTCATAGCTGTAATCTTGGTTGGTTCAGGAGAGACCCCTTTTCCTGAAACCAAATGCCCCAAGTATTCTACCTCCTCTTTACCAAACACACACTTGGACCTTTTGGCAAATAGTTGGTGAACTCGCAGCAACTGCAAAGTAGTTTGCAAATGATTGGTCCATGTACTACTGTATACTAAAATGTCATCAAAAAATACTAAGATGAATTTCCTTAATTGAGGCCTGAAAACTTCATTCATCAAGCTTTGAAAAGTAGATGGGGCATTTGTTAACCCAAATGGCATTACCATGAATTCATAATGTCCATCATGGGTTCTAAATGCAGTTTTGTAAATGTCTGTAGGAGTTACCCTTATCTGGTGATAACCAGATCTCAAATCCAGCTTAGAAAAGTACTTAGCACCACACAATTCATCAAGGAGTTCATCTATAGCAGGAATAGGAAATTTATCCTTCACAGTAGCTTTATTTAAGGCTCGATAGTCAATGCACATTCTCCAATTCCCATCCTTCTTCTTAACTAACAGCACCGGTGAAGAATAGGGACTAACACTGGTTCTAATAATTCCTGAAATTAACATCTCGTTGACCTGTTTTTCAATCTCAGTTTTTTGAAAATAGGGATACCTGTAAGGCCTGATATTGGTAGGTTCTGCCCCTGTTTTCAATGGTATGCAATGGTCATGAGTCTGGTTGGAGGAAGGGTCTTAGGTTCTTGAAAAATATCTCCATAATCAACCAGTAATGCTTCCAAATCTGGTTCCAAGTCTGGTTGTAATGTATCCTCTATTTCATCACATTCAGCCTGAAAAGAGTACACCTGAGCTACAACTCCTTGTGCTTGTTTCTGAACTATCTTTTTCATCTTATTAGCCCCAATGACTGTCAATTCTTCTTTCTTTCCTCCCCTTAGCACATGCCTCTTGTCATTCAACTGAAACTCCATGCTCAGATTCTTGAAATCCCACTTTACTGGACCCAATGTTGCTAACCATTGAATTCCCAAAACCATGTCACAGCCCTTGAGTTGCAAAATCCTCATGTCAGCTTGAAATTCAGTGCCTTGCATTTCCCACCGAAATCCTAACTAAGTACTAAGTTGAAACTGAATTCAAACTGAATTCAAACTGACCCAACTAATTAACAAACTTCTAAACTAAGTACTAAGTTGAAACTGAATTCAAACTGAATTCAAACTGACCCAACTAATTAACAAACTTCTAAACTAAGTACTAAGTTGAAACTGAATTCAAACTGAATTCAAACTGACCCAACTAATTAACAAACTTCTAAACTAAGTACTAAGTTGAAACTGAATTCAAACTGAATTCAAACTGACCCAACTAATTAACAAACTTCTAAACTAAGTACTAAGTTGAAACTGAATTCAAACTGAATTCAAACTGACCCAACTAATTAACAAACTTCTAAACTAAGTACTAAGTTGAAACTGAATTCAAACTGAATTCAAACTGACCCAACTAATTAACAAACTTCTAAACTAAGTACTAAGTTGAAACTGAATTCAAACTGAATTCAAACTGACCCAACTAATTAACAAACTTCTAAACTAAGTACTAAGTTGAAACTGAATTCAAACTGAATTCAAACTGACCCAACTAATTAACAAACTTCTAAACTAAGTACTAAGTTGAAACTGAATTCAAACTGAATTCAAACTGACCCAACTAATTAACAAACTTCTAAACTAAGTACTAAGTTGAAACTGAATTCAAACTGAATTCAAACTGACCCAACTAATTAACAAACTTCTAAACTAAGTACTAAGTTGAAACTGAATTCAAACTGAATTCAAACTGACCCAACTAATTAACAAACTTCTAAACTAAGTACTAAGTTGAAACTGAATTCAAACTGAATTCAAACTGACCCAACTAATTAACAAACTTCTAAACTAAGTACTAAGTTGAAACTGAATTCAAACTGAATTCAAACTGACCCAACTAATTAACAAACTTCTAAACTAAGTACTAAGTTGAAACTGAATTCAAACTGAATTCAAACTGACCCAACTAATTAACAAACTTCTAAACTAAGTACTAAGTTGAAACTGAATTCAAACTGAATTCAAACTGACCCAACTAATTAACAAACTTCTAAACTAAGTACTAAGTTGAAACTGAATTCAAACTGAATTCAAACTGACCCAACTAATTAACAAACTTCTAAACTAAGTACTAAGTTGAAACTGAATTCAAACTGAATTCAAACTGACCCAACTAATTAACAAACTTCTAAACTAAGTACTAAGTTGAAACTGAATTCAAACTGAATTCAAACTGACCCAACTAATTAACAAACTTCTAACTAAGTTGAAATTGAATTCAAAAGCTGAATTCAAAATTTCTTTTCTTTCTCTAAATCATAACAAGCTGGTTTGATAGAGTACAGGTGCCACCCATTTTGGTCCCAGAAATATTGCCCTTTACATGAGTATGATAACACGGCCCGATGCTGCAGTTGTGAGCGTTTGGAGGTACTGATCTATGCTAGCATTTGTTATTTTTATACTTTTTTTCAAAATGATGATTTTTATTTTTCTTGTTGATGTTGGTTCCCCACTTCTTCCCCTTCTGAAGTCTTGGAATGTAAGATACGTATCTCTAGGAGATGGACGGAGTCTATGTTTAGAGTGTATGGAATCTTCTATCATAGATACTGGTGATTGCCAACCACTCTACCATGCCATTAGAGACTACTATGAAGGAATGAACATGAAACTAGACCAGCAAATTCCGATGCTTCTGGTCGAAAGACAAGCCCTTAATGAAGCTATTGTAGGCGAGAAAAATGTAATAAATGAATTCTCTCCATTTTTTGTGTTCCTGATTTATAGAATTTTTCTAATGCACATAACTTTCTTTCCAGGGTTTCCATCACATGCCTGAAACAAGGGGTTTATGTTTGTCAGAAGAGCAGACAGTTACCAGTGTAGGTTGGATAACCAGATAATTGAATTTTTCTTTATTTACTAAATTTAAATTTATCACTGTTACGCTATGTACCTAATAGGTGCTTCTCTCTCTCTCTCTCTCTCTCTCTCTCTCTCTCTCTCTCTCTATTTTGATTATAAAAAAAAAAATCTAGATACTTAAAAGGCCAAGAGTAGGGAACCACCGACTTGTAGGAATGAGAACACAACATCAAAAGCTGACTCGAAAATGTGAAGTCACAGCCATTCTTGTTCTCTATGGTCTCCCAAGGTAATATTTGGTGATTTTTTCACTCTCTCTCCCTCTTTTTCACGCCCTCTGTCTCTCTATTTTATAATTGTTTGACACTTTACATTTCTACACTTCCATATGATGTTTTTGTTGCTTACTCTTGTAAGTGGCAAACCTTGGTTAATGTTATGAACTCTTATGGACACATCTTCGCTTTATACAGATTACTGACAGGTGCGATTCTTGCTCATGAGTTAATGCGTGGGTGGTTACGCCTTAAAGGTACTACATGAGTTCCTTCTGTTACTTTTCCTTTTTTGTTTGATTGAGGGTCATAGAAGACACGTTGATGCATGACAAGAACATTAGAGCAACTTCATTGATGTAGTATTTACGTGTAGCAGTACTAAAGAAGCACAACACAACGGAAAACACTCCAACAATGTAGAATATGCTGTGCTAAAATAGCACATATTTTATACTACGCCAGTGGAGCAACTTGTAGTGAATCTGTATGAAGTCTATTTTTGTTGTGCTAAAATGGCACAAAAAAATGCTATACCAATGGAGAGGATCTTATGTTGGGCAAGAGGAACAATAACCGGAGATAACTCTTCCAAGATCGATGCATACCACATGATGACGTACATCTATTATTTATTTATTTTTATTCTTGAATTATGCAGGCTACCGTAATCTGAATCCGGAGGTAGAGGAGGGTATATGTCAAGTGCTTTCTTACATGTGGCTCGAGTCAGAGGTAATGCCAGGATTCAGAAATATGCCATCCACATCAACAGCTTCATCATCATCGTCAATGTCATCATCGAAGAAAGGTGGAAAGTCTGGTGTCGAGAATAAATTGGGTGAGTTTTTCATGCATCAGATTGCCCATGATGCTTCTCCGGCCTATGGTGGAGGATTTAGGGCTGCAAATGCAGCTGTGAATCAGTATGGTTTACGCAGTGTTCTGGACCACATTCACCTGACTGGGAGTTTTCCCCTGTAATTTGATTTACAATAGGTATGGCCTCGTCTCTGTTGGAAGTTGGTTTGTCTTTATTGTTGGAGATCATTGAATTAGCTCCTCAGAAGGATTGAGTTGATCAAAAAAAGCTTGGATTAGCTCCCCCTTGTTTTTGTGGTGTTCTTTTGAGGATACAAGAAAAAATGACTTGAAACATAATAATAATGATAAGCATATCTTCATTCCATAAAACGTAAGTGGTTCTTTGTTGTCTGCATTCTAGTTAGCAATTACATTCTTTGGACACGTTAACATGTTTTTCAGCATTTTAAATTTTATTTATCTAATTTTTCTGCAAGGGATCCGGGGGCTTGAACCTGATTGCTGACTTTGATTGCCCTAAGAATCTGGTGCTTTTCTATTGGCCTTTTTGGCACAAGTGGAAAGGAGTTTGCGGATTGTACGATAGGTATAATCTTTTTTCAATCATGGAATGCATTAGATGTGAACCATGCCAATAGGCAACAAAAACAAAAAACAAAAAAAAAAAAAAACAAACAAACAAAAGATTACATGTTAATAAGAACTGAGCAGTTGTCTATCCCTTTGTCTGTGACGGGACACCAACTTTGCAGCCCATCCTTTGTTTTTTTGAAGTTCCAAGGAGGGAGATAGCTAGCATTGTCATGCGTGCAACTCAACAATGGTGTTCATGAACTAGATGTCGTCTAACATGACCTCTAGAGAAAAATTCAAGTCACATTGTATCATATAAGCTGTCATGATTGAACAAAAACTTCATCTCATATGTCCCCTCCCTGCTATTAAACAGAAACCGACCATTATGTCCAGTTTTGTGACCAGTTTCCGTGTTTGTAGACTTATTAGCGAGGGTGAATTTGTAATAAGTGTGGGTGCGTGTGTGCATGTCTTCCAACTCCCACTTTTTTCTCCCTTTTACTTACCTGCTTTGATGGTTAGTATTAGGACATATTTACTTTAGCATACCTTATGCTATGCATGCGTGCATCATTCATTAGTCTTGCATGCACCAGGCTCGGCGCATCATACTAACTGCATAAGTATTTCAAATCTAACTTGAATACGTGCTACTTGTGCATTTTCACATGTCATTTATCGACTAGCCGAGCCTACTCTAGTGACATCCCGTATGCGTTGCATTAGGCATTTAAACATGGACTTGGATCATGCATGATTGCTAACATGTTCTTGTTTTGGCACGGAGTACTAGGTGAGCTCTTTATGCTTTAGCATCTCACATGAGTGTGAACATTAACATGATAGCATGATTACTATGAGGCTAGATGCTTATGTGATACAAACTGCTTGAATGCCTGTGGATGGAGGTTGAATTATCTAAATTGGAATAATGCATTAAAACTGAACAAGAAGTTCTCCTGCTCAAATTACCCGTATAGTCTCCGACATTAATGGTTGTGCCCTGACCTGGAAGCCCAGTGGCTGCCTCCTGAGCTGCCAGTGCCTTCTTGCTGATTATCTGATAAATGTCCAATAAGATTGTTTGGAACGCCTTCTCAATGTTGGGTGCCTCCAGGGCTGAGGTCTCCAGGAACGAAAGGCCTTCCTTCTCGGCCAGGAGCTGGGCGTCTTGGTCTGAGACTGCTCGGAGGTGGTTCAGGTCAGACTTGTTTCCAGCCATCATGATGACGATGTTGGAATCAGCATGGTCCCTCAGTTCACGGAGCCACCTCTGGACATTTTCGAAGGTCTGTCTCTTGGTTATGTCATAGACCAGGAGGGCTCCCACTGCACCTCTATAGTATGCACTTGTGATGGCTCGATACCTCTCTTGACCTGCCGTGTCCCATATTTGGGCCTTCACTGTCTTGCCCTCTACCTGTAACCAAAATAGTTAAAGCTAAATTTGCAAGAAATATCATCTAGTGTACATATATACAATGCACACATTAAATCTTACATTTGCACACATCAAATCTCATGTCGTTGCCTACTTGTTGCTATTGTGTATGCTCTGTGAAAGGAAATGAATGCAAGAATGTATCAAAACGATTACAGAGATGGTAAGACTATCTCAGAACAGATTGTAATGACTGTTAGATTTGTGCTATGCCTTCTTAGAGATGTAAGAAGTAGTCAGTTCAATAAATGGTTGCAATATGAATGGCGAATGCCGAATTTAATCTTTGTAGATAATCTTTGTAATTGTGGGAGCATTTTATGGTGTTTGTCTCTGACTCTTTGGATAATCTAATAATGGATGGTGTGGATAACTACAGTGGATTTGCATGTTGTGGATTCTGTGCCTGCCTCTGGGTGATGTGTCTTCTGTTGTTTTGGATTTGTTGGTTGCTATTTGTTTTTTTTAGTGATGCCAATTGTATTGATGTATATTTTCTGCTCTTTTATAAAATTATCTTACTTTCTTAAAAAGATTAAATTTTACATTTGTATAAATATGTGTCCTCCTTAACAAGGTTACCTAGTGATAATACAATAGTCATAGGCGGTGTTTGGCAACTTAGTTTTTAGGTTTTTTTTTTGATTTTTTTCATTACAAGACAAACATTTTACAAACCAAAAAAAACAAATTCAAACAAAATATCACATCAAATCCCATAATCATTTCACTTTTTCTCTCACAAACATCACATCCAACCACAAAAAAACCCAACTATCTTCCCAAACACAAAAAAAAATTTCTCCAATAATATCCTACAACTAAACAAACCTACAAAAAAACCCACTTCCCAAACACCCACATAATAGAACACCAACATGACATGTGGTGATCCCAATAAGGCCCGGCAAAAGGGGATGAATGGGACCTGCCTTATCTCCAACTCAACTGACCAAGATAGATAGGTCAAGTTTGCTCCATCCATTAAGTTTTTGTTACTTTTGTTAGTCTAGAAGCACTATGTCAACATGATGAATTAATTAGTTAGCAAAGTAAAAAAAGTAACATAGACAATGTTATAACCGCCATGCCATGTCTATGTAAACTATAGAGTCATCTATTTGGTGAAGTAACTCTATATATATAGTAATACGTACTAGTGGTGTGTACACATCTGATGAGTATATTAAAATTGCAAGAAGTTATAACTTTTGATATGAATTTGAGGCATGAAATTACAGGTAGTTACGTGACAGTTTTCGCCAATTTGGATATAAACTTTATATAATAACTATCCAATTGAAATCCAAAATAAGGTGAAACAATGGGAAGACGCAGTCCTATAAAAACAATACTTCCACCAACCAAAAAAGAAAAAATAAATAAATAAACAAAACAAAACAAAACAGAGGCAATAGAATAATTTTCACACAAAAACATGTTATCTATCAAATGGCATTCATACATCCACAACTTTGTAAAAACATGTTTTTCCTTTCATTTCAAATTCTGAAATATAACACAACTTTGTAAACACATGCAACCAAATGGACCCAAAGGTTCACATATTGGCAAACCGTAGATCACAGAAATTTGGAACTAGATGGGTGGTCAACAAAATAGTACATTGATATACAAAACTCGTGACAAATTGGCAAAACGTAGATCACAGAAATTGAAATTAAACCTGAAGAGTCCTTGTGGCAAATTCAACACCAATGGTAGATTTAAACTCTAAGCAGAACTCGTTGCGCGTAAACCTGGAAAGTATATTAGATTTTGCAACACCCGAGTCCCCAGTCAAGACTATCTTGAATAGGTAATCATACTCATGATCCACCTTGTAGGCCATTGCTTCTTCTCTTTATACCCTCCACAAACCTACCCATAACATAACCAAATCACAATTCATTAAAAAAGAACCAAGAAAAAAACACAAAACAAAAAACCAAAACCAAGTAAAAAACAATTTGTTTCTTTTTTTTTTGGAAAATCTGAAAATGAATCTTGGCTTTACTCATTAGGATTTTATTTCTTTCTATTTTCTCATTGTTTATTCTTTTTTTCCTGGAAAAAAAAGAATGTAAGAGAAAGAGAAGCAACTAACCATAAACAGATGATGATTTGGTTGAGGAAAGAGCAATGCAATGGAGATTTTGGAACCTAAGATTTGCAGAGAACTTTTGGGGTAAGAAAGAGAAGAGAGAGAAAGAGCATTTTTCTCAGTCCAATCAGGAGAAACAGAATAAGCGAGGAAACAGGAATTTAAGCGGTCATTTTTAGTACGGAAAATTCCAAAAATACATATGTTATATTCAAATTTTACTAGAATAAAACATTGGTTTTTATTTCATTTGTGGCCTGTTTGGTTGCTACACAAAGATGGTGAAATTAAGATCTCATTATGAACTGGTTCCATTTAGCAACCAAATGCAAAACACTGATATTGATATAAGTTTGGTTTTTTATAGTGCATAAGCCTACTTGTTCAAACTTTATTTGAAATTATTTAAGCTGGACTTATTACATAATAGGCTGATTTGAAATAATGAACCAAACACAAATTGAGTTCAAGTAGTTTCATTTGTTTTACTATCCTAAAGGACCATACCAGCAGGTATTAAATTTTTTATGCCCTCATGTTGGAAAAAAAACCAATAATCCACACCCACCCTTCCTCCTCTTTCCTCCCAAAACGAGAAAATCGATGATTATAGAATAACCTCTTCATTAATCGTGCATGATGAGATTGCCAACATGTTGTACACACTTTTTTTCTTCGTTTTTTTATTTAAAAAAAAAAAAATCAAAAAAAAAATCAAAATCCAATTCTAAGTTGTCACTTAAAAAGTTTAAAAGTTTAAAAGTTTTTGAAGTTTATTGGCCTTCCAAGCAAAGAAATAACATTGTGGACTATGCTATCATTTATAGTGGAATTGGTTGTAGGGTGCAGCAACTACATGCTATGTGGCATTGCATCCACAGGTTAAAGGGATGACCGGGAAATATTTTGCAGACTGTAACCTAGCTGAAGCAAACTCGCAAGCCAACAATACTGAAATGGCAAAGAAATTGTGGGATTTCAGCTTGAGATTGATTAACCAATGCACTCAAATTTCTTAGAGGTTCATACAGTTTGGTGTTTAACCCATATTTCTCGTATGATATGAAAGTTATACATTCACTGTCTTTGTATTGTGTTTGGAGACTTCCCAATGAGTTGTAAATTCCCAAACCTAAATTACATAGCAGATGTCTGTATATGCTACTCTGCCTAGGATGATTTTGCTCATCTCCTCTGTTCGGAGTTTAAAAAATGAAGAAAGAAATAAAAGAAATATTTCTATCAGTCTCTCTTAGAAATGGTAACATGGCGGGTAGGGGTGTGTGCGGTGCGGTTTGAGTAGTTTGAGAATAAAATTATAAACCGAATGGTAGATTGGCAAATCGCGGTTTGGGCGGTTTTGGACGGATTGAAAAATATTCTAACCAAAATAATAGATGATACCGAATAAAACCTGTAGCCCAAAATAATAAAAGGACAAACAAAATGGCTTAATACATCAATCCAATCACCCCAAGAAGGGGGAAAAAAGAAACAGCCACAGACCATCTAAAGAGGCAGTTGAAGCACGTAAGACCAAAATCATGTTTGGTCTGCAGCAACCAAAGCCTCAATAGGGATAAAGAAGGCCTGTTGAGGTGAAGACAATGACGGAGAGGGGCTGCGGAGGTAGGGTTGAGGCTGGGCTGAAACTGTCGGAGGGAGAAAAGGAGTTGGAAAGGGCTGTTGGAAGCTAGGTGAAGGCTGAAAGAAGGTTGGGCTGAGGATGTCGAAGGGAGAAAAAGGGCTGTCGGAGGCTAGAGAGAAAAAAGAAGGTAGTCGGTGGTGATGGGTGGTTGAGAGAGACGGCTAGGAAGGTTCTGATACCAAAATGAATAGAAAGAATTATTTGGCTTACCAATCAGTGAGGTAGAGACCATGTATATATAATATATTCATCATACAATTTAGGAAACAATATACACAAGGCGGGATTCCTATAATCAAAATAATGCTTATTATAATTTCTATATTCAAACATAATATTTTGATTTTTATATTCAACAGTACTCACATTTTTCTGTTTTTTTTATTTTTATATATTTTTTATTGCATCAATCTGGCTGTAGGGGGCGGCAACGACATGTTATGTGGCATTGCATCCACAAGTCGAGGGAAAAAGTGGTGAATATTTCAGTGACAGCAATGTGGCCAAAGCAAGTGGACACGCTATGAACATCGAGTTGGCAAAGAAACTCTGGGATTTCAGCATGAACTTAGTTAAGTAATGTACTCCTAATTTCACAAAATCCACTGTACCTCAAAAATAAGAATAGTACATAAGCTAGTTGAATGGTGTTTGCCCTGCTTTGTTAACAAAGAACAATCTGATAAATCCTTGAATTGTAATAATTTGATTAATCGTTTATACTTATTTACTCGTATTATTTGAGGATTACAGTAGTCATTCTTGTTGGGTATAACCTCATTGAAACAAGTAATTGGTAAGTAATTTTATTTATCTTTTATTTTTTTCCTTGATAAATCCGAGATTCAAGAATCAATCATAGCGATAGGATTTAGAAGATGCATGCTTGTGTGGATTTGGACTTCTTGCTTTGATGTATAAATTCTTCCTACGAATAGTGGGGAACTTGGTACATATTTGTCTATGACAAGACTTGAATTCTCAACGAATCCATGTACCTCGTTAGCAAATTAAGAATTGTGTAAGTGGAAAATGGAAGTTGGGCAAGAAGAAGAGGATCACATAATTATGGTTCAGAAGCCAACCCGTTGATCTGTCCATCACCAATTGCTGAACAGAAAAGATTTGTAGAAAAAAAAATTTGTGTGATATAAATTTAAGGGGGAATTAGTGGAAAAGAAAAAAAAAATTACAAAAATATTGAGAGTTCAACTGATTATGTTATAGGGTGCAAGTGAATAACTGTGGGGCTCTATGTTTGAATTTTTTTTGTTTGTCCAACTAATCACACAATAATTTTTATTTTGTGAATCTATTATGTGTATGTAGAATTGTTGATTGCACAAAGTGGCAGAATTATTGTAAAGCATGCAAAACATAGGGAGAGGTAAAGAGAGATAAAAGACATCAATTCAAGTTTTATTTTTTAATTCTTTTTTAACTTTAAAATTGGTTGGAGGATGATAGGAAATGAGAACAGCATACGCACCAATTAGTATACTAACTATTGTATCAATTGATGATGTGACATAATTTAAAAAGTTTTTTTGTAGTAAATATAAAAAAAACCTCATTAATGAGGCACATAATTGGAAGTATCAAAGTTAGATTACATCAATGCTAGTAAATATAATTAATTCATTTTCTAATTATTTGTATTTGTCAAACTCAAGATATTATAAAATCTTTTTCTGCTCCGCTATTCCACTGAGTTGAATTATAAGATTTTAAAATTAAGAAATAAAATATTATTGTTATTATTATTATTATAAGTAATATTGAATAGAGCATTATTAGATCAACTTTATAAATTCTGTGATGCATCAAAAAAAAAAAATGATATCAATCAATTATTTTTCTATTAGTTGAGTTAAGCTGTAATTAACCCAAAACAAGACAAAAGAAAGGTGGTTGGAGATTTTTTTTAATTAAAATGACACACAATTAGGCATTAACCCAAACAGATCATTAAGGATTCGACTATTGTATAACGCGAAACACATATAAATGCATGGTCCATCTCTCTTTCTCTGTTTTTGGTCATCGCTTGAAGATATGCGTCTCTGTTTAGGTTCTTGAGAGAGAGAGAGAGAGAGAGAGAGTGAGAGAGAATGTGGTTGTTGAGCAGAAAAGGACCATCTGGGTATTCAGCAAGCTCCACACCTAAGGAAGTTACTCGAAGAATTGATGGGACTGGTCTCACTGCCATTGTTACAGGTCTCTCTCTCTTCTAATCTAATCTTCCGTGGTAGAATAATGTTTAGAGAAAGAGAGAGAGAAATATGTATCTCTTTTATATATATGATTCAATGTACAAAAGCTCCTATATATGGGAGAGATTATAGACAACCTACAAATAACATTATGGCCTAAAGTGGTAGGTGACCGAAAGAGTAAAGACTAAAGCAATAAGTAATGTGAGCACTAATTATAACAAACACTAACAACCGCCCTCAAATTTAAAGAGGATAGGTATCAATCAATATAAGTTTGGAGAGAGTAACAAAACGTGAAAATAAACTAAAAAATAAAATAAAATAGGAGACATTGTATGGTCGTGTCAGACTATTGTAGAAAACACGATACGGTTGTGGAGGACCATTGTAGAGGACATTGTGTGGTCGTGTCGAATCGTTGGAAAAGACACTATATGGTCATGTATATATACATACAAAGATATATATATATATATATATATATGTTGCGCCTTCAAAAGTTGCACCTGACACTGTGGCTTCGAACGTCGTGTCTGGCGCGCGATTTACGTGACCGACAGAGCTAGACGCTCCCTGATGTGCAACGATTGCCTCGACTCTCGCTCTCTCTTTATTCTCTTTTTAAGCCGAGGCTGGTGAGAGAGATAGAGCAAAAAAGCTATGAACCATTCTGCAACCCCTTTCTTTTGTATCCTCTGATATGGCCTTTTCCCTTGGTTCTCTCACCCTCTTTCCAAACCTCAATGATCCTATAAGCTCCCTTGTACCGAGTTCCCCTACTCCTACTCTTCCGAACCTTCCTACGCTGTCAATCGAGCAAATAATGGCAACTCAATATGACATTGAAGCTAACCAATACACACTGAAGTCCTGTATGGAGACAGTGGCTGCGGTCTCTAATTTGTCTCACCGACTGCAGAATAGGACAAGTGAGGTACACCGATTAAACGCCCAACTTTCGCTGCTCCAATGTATGTACAAGGATGCGCGAGCAGAGATTAGCGCACTGAAGGCAGAAAATAAAGAGCTGAAACAGAAAGCCACTGTCATGATCCGATTCGGAGTGCCGCCATATTCTGCGTTTGATGATTAGGGGAGAGTCAACTCGCTTGGTAGGCTTGTAAACACTGAAGCAGGGCCTTCAAGGGTTGTCCGTGATGAAAACAAGAGGAAGAGATCGGCGGGAGAGTCAAGTAAGTGAGGTCGGCGCACGGCTGGCATTGGTGGGTAATCGTTGCTGCCGGGATGGTGCCGGAGGAAATTGAAAAATGCTTGGTATTTTGAGGTTGGTTTTTTTTTTTTTTTTTTTGTGGGAGTGGGAACCTATAGCATCAATCTTTGGTGTAGAATTGTGATGAATAAAACGAGTTTGTTCCGCAAATTCGGGTATGGTGGAAATGATGGAATTGTGATGAAATGGAAATGATGGGTATATTGATGGAAAAATCAAAAAATAAAAAAATCACAAAATACCAAGTATTTTTCTTATTCTTCTTCTTCTTCTTCTTCTTCTTCTCTCTCTCTCTCTCTCTCTCTGTGTGGATCCTGCTAAACTTAACGTTTGTAGTTAAAGCTTGATTTCTGTTAATTTAAATGAGTTTATGCTTGTTCATGAGCCTAACATGCCATGCCACATTGTATGTATGTTTATATATGTATCATCAGTTGGCACCGTCTGTGGGAAGGATTTTGCTCCTCGCGCCAGTTGTGTTCACTGTCGCCGGAGCCCCCGTTCCAATAACCCTTTCTCGCTACCCATCGAAGTGTATGGTCATGACTAGATCCATGACTTCTCACCAAAATGCTGCCGACCACCAAGCCAACCCCCCCAATCCAAACAACCCACCACAGTATTTCATCGAGCTTACCAACAGTAGTAACTGCATGGCCGAGCAAAACCAAGCCTTGATCAATGCCCTACTCCAAAGAAACCTTCCTATGCCCCCTCCACCACCTCCCGATATTCCCCCCAACTACGAACAAGCCCCGAGCCATACTAATGCAAGCATAAGGTATGCTAATCGAAATATGCCCTAAACTAACCATCGAAAGCTGATAAGTAAAAGGGGGAAAGAAATGGGGTTGGAAGACATGCATCACACTCACGCACTCTTATTACAATATTTGCCCTCTCGACGGAGGGTCCGAATAAATCAACTAACTAGCTATGCTAATTAAACTAATTATTACAAACCAAACTAATTAACTAACTTAGCAAATTAATTATTACACAACCGAATTGAAACAAATAGCTATGTTAAGCTAGTTGACATATTACACAACAAATTAAATGACTAATCACGCAAACTAATCATAAGCAGTGAAATGGCCTCGCGGGCAAGGAAGAGATGCATGCTCGGTCAGCTTTGCTCAGAAATCCACTGCCGTGCCTCATGATGCCTCTGTTTGCACTGTTTTAGACTTCTGAAAATTGTGTCAACTTCCAAGATGCTTCTGATCCACCTTATGACCATACTGAGGGGTGGTCGGCCAAGAGGAATGGCCATCGGCCAGAGTTTATGGTTATCAGCCAATTTTGATAGCCGATCGGCAGACTTGATGGCCGGTCGGCAGCTTTGATGGTCGGTATGCCACTACTTCCTGCAATTTCTCCTTTTTGCTGCAACAGAGCACAAACACAGGCATGGCAGTGTATTTGCAAGAAAATGTGTGTAACTACACTCCTTATCATATCTTAAGCTCAAAGGAATGTAGTGGTCGACTCTCAAGCCACCAATCACACATCTCAGTGAATGATGGCCAAAGAGGCTGAGTTGCACAAATCAATATCAATGAATGCACACAAATAACACATAAGACTCGATGAACCTCCACCTTATCATACATGATCAAAGGTGTCCGTGACCTAAGGAACAAGGCACGTTTCATCACTTTGAGTTTTGAGTATGAAACATGTGACATTCCTGGTGTTTGGATTGACCTCTAACACAAACACAATGCAACTAACACAACATGCAAACACAATGCAATGCAACAACATGCAAACACAATGCAATGCAACAACATGCAAACACAATGCAATGCAACAACATGCAAACACAATGCAATGCAACAACATGCAAACACAATGCAATGCAACAACATGCAAACACAATGCAATGCAACAACATGCAAACACAATGCAATGCAACAACATGCAAACACAATGCAATGCAACAACATGCGAACAACATGAGCATGGAAAGGGCTATTTAATGGAAAAGTCAATAACCAAACCAACCTCAAACAAGCCTCATGCATGCCAAGACAATGGCCAAAACATGCTGAAAATGAAGTCCAAAAGCAAATACAAGCATGCATACACATTGGTTCATAAACAAGGAATGAGGACACAACTCTCAAACACATTGAAGGAATGGAAAATGTGAGAGTGTGGCAATGAAATATGCTCTGAAGTCATGTAAGGAATGATGCCAAATCATGCACATAACACATGCATAACATGCTTGGAGGCTCGAAGCTTAAGACTAGCAAAGGGACTTGCACCATGGCCATATCAATCAAGCCCCAAAGAG